CGTTGCAACCGGTGACGTGCCTCAAGAATTTTCACAAAACCACTGGCCATGGCGCAGTCTTCCTAATTTTCGGCCGTTATTCTATAGAATAACCGTATGTGGAACCATGTCAAAAAATCATCTTTCCTTTTCGTGCGATTCGGCTCAAGCATAAAGGTCGCCAAAGACCAGTGGGACGAGCTCGTGTCTGTTATTTTTCCCGCCATCAGTTTTCTTTATGAGGGGTGTAGCTTAAGTCATGGTCTGAAAAAAAAAAAACTGCCCTATAGAACAATCGCACCAAGTGCACATTAGCGGTAGACATGTGTATACTTCGAACGAGTATTTTGTTTCTCATGATGAAGCATCAATTGAGCCATTAATCATTATTTACGATTTTTTACTGTTTTCGTCACTCACATATCACATTGTAAGTTTTTATGATGATGCTGATGATGATGATGATGATTAAAACTCAAAATTGATAACACGTGTTACCACAAGCAGAGATGCATGGTTCTTCTTCTCGATAGAGAAAAATCTGAAGTACTACTATATATATATATATATATATATATATATATATATATATATATATATATATATATATATATATATATATATATATATATATATATATATATATATATATATATATATAACAGACAATAATGCCAAGGCATGTATAGGGTAAGTTATCAGACCAATTGTAATGTAATTGTGAAGAGCAGGAACCGAACCTGCGTCATGCTCTACCACTGAGCTACCCGGCGGCTATCCTCCCAGCCACTTTTTTTGGTTTATATGTGAATTTAAACGTGGGACTGGCACTCCCAAGCCGTAGCAACTCTTCGACAACGTCAGCTGCAAACTGCCGGCCGTGATCACTTATCACTACACGAGGGGCCCTATGGCGGAGTATAATCGAGTGCAGGAGAAACCATGACACATCAGATGATGTGGCTGAAGGGACCGCCATCGTTTCAGTATACCGCGTCAGGTAATCTACGCACACAATAATCCAGCGGTGGCCGCGGTGGTAGACTTGGGGAAAGGGCCCAGTGAATCTATGTCGACTTGTTTGAATGGTGATATGGCGGTGGCTTAACCGGTTGCAGTGGGCCGGCCAATGGCGTGGTAGGTTGTTTGTGGCGTTGGCAGACATCACAACTTGCGACGTAGTGCTTGGTGGTCTTCCAGAGTCGAGGCCAGTAAAAACGTTGTCGGAGACGGTGAAGCGTTCGGGGCAAATCCAAGGTGCCCAGACGTGATGTCATCGTGCATGGCTTGGAATACCGCAAGACGCAGGCATTCTGGCATGACGAGGCATTCTGCCACGGTGTGGAACCACCGCTTGAGTCATTTTTGCGATATAATAGGGCGTCATGAATAACGAATGGCGTGGTGCGTTTACAGCTATAGTATACGAGCCACATTGATCATTAGTTTCAGCGAAGGGTCACGCTGTTGCTCGTGACGGAAGACGTCCAGATTTGGGAAGTTGGAGGAGATTGCCGCCAGGTATAGTTATCGAAATCATCATGATCAGCATCCACAGTCGGAGATGGAAAACAAGATAAGCAGTCTGCGTGACATGGACCGCTCTTGTAGGTCACAGAAAAATTATATTCTTGAAGTCGTAAGTCCCAACGAGCCAACCGGCCAGCTGGGCCACGTAATCTGACTAGCCAACAAAGAGAATGATGATGTGTAACGATCTTGAATCGTCAGCCGTACAAATAAGGTCTGAACTTTTGGACGGCGAAAACAACCGCAAGGCACTCCAGTTCGGTGACCGTATAGTTCCTTTCCGCCTTAGTGAAAGTACGACTTGCATACGCCACGACGTGCTGGCGACTGTCGTGATACTGAACCAGCACGGCACCAACATCGATACCACTAGCATCTGTATGCGGTTCTGTGAGTGCCTCCAGGTCAAAATGGCGCAAGAGGGGCCCGGAAGTAAGCAAATACTTCAGCTACTGGAAAGCAGCCTCACACTCTATACGGTCCATCGGAATGGGGCGTTTTTGTGGAGCAACTCTGTCAGAGGATGAGCAAGCTGGGCGAAGTCTTTGATAAACTGATGAAAATAAGAACACAGGCCCACGAAGCTATATGGAGATCCTTCACAGACGTTGGTTGCTTGAAGCCTCGGACAGCATTGATCTTTTGCGGGTCTGGCCGTATACCGTCCCTGTCGACTAGATATCCGAGCACAAGGGCTTGCGCTCACCAAATTGACACTTCTTTGCGTTTAAAACAAGACCAGCTTGTTTGACGCAATCTAGAACAACGCCAAGCCGATGGTTGTGCTCGTGGAATGTCTTGCCAAAAATATTTACATAATTGAGATAACACATATCTCCCATTTGTGACAGCGAAGGATGGAGTCCATGAATCGCTCAAAGGTATACCTGGGGCATTACATAAGCCAAATGGCATATCGTTAAACTCAAATAACCCATAAGGCGTGACAAAAGCAGTCTTCTTTCTGTCAGACGGATGCATTGGTATCTGCCAGTATCCAGACCTTAGGTCAACGGACGAAAAGTATGCGGCCGAGTGCAGGCAATCAACAGCATCATCGATGCGTGGTAGCGGATACACGTCTTTCTTTGTGACGGCGTTGAGACGGCGGTAGTCGACACAAAATCGCCAAGAGTTGTCTTTCTTTTTTACCAATATAACAGGAGCAGCGCAGGGACTTTTTGACTCTTGAATAACGCCTTTCTGCAGCATGTCGTTGACCTGATCGGCGATCACTTGCCTCTCTGACGGGGATGTAGCATCTCCCGTGTTGATGTGGTGGTGCATACGGGATTCGGTCAACATGCAACAACGCTTGCCTTGAGCGAAATCAAAGACTCCCGCGTAGCGTGTAAGTACCTCCTCGAGGACATCCTGCTCGGAAGAAGGCAACGACTTATTGATCATACGTTTCATCTCGGCTGAGTAGTTGGGCGCAGTCTGACTCATGGGAGACTCTGAGACCATTTCTGACGTCAATTGTGGCCTGCTCCTCAAACGTTCTCAGTTTAAATCCGGCTGGTAGAATAACAGGCTCTGAGGCTGCGTTGAGCGCCCACAAACAAGCATGTCCGTCGATCAGCATATATATTCGCTGTCTCATAGAATGTCTATAGAACGTTTCGAGAAACCAATATATGCATTGTATATGTCGCAATATATAGCTGTGTCGTCGTTTCGTATATATATAGTAAACTCACCACAATATATATATATATATATATATATATATATATATATATATATATATATATATATATATATATATATATATATATATATATATATATATATATATATATATATAAGAAGAATAATCTGACACGTATTGTGTGTCGTCTGAATGCCGCTGCATATATGCTGTACGTATATACGCAGAAAACTTCCCTGTGTTATCATTTTCATTTAGGCTAAATTGCATTAAATTATGCGAATCAGCTCAAGTTATATCCTGGTTTGCTCTATATGCGCATATTGTGCCCACAGTGAACCTATGAAGCTGAACTAATCGTGTTTTTTTTTATTATAGGTAATCGTGGATCATTTTATTTACGTCCCAGCAATGTCTCATAGGGGGAGACAGTAGACATATAGTAAGTCTAACAACCATTTCCCATTTTATCACGTTCCCGTGTCTTCCTTTGTAACCCCACCTTCGTTTTTATGAATTATTTAATTCGCTTGGAAACTCTACGTTTCGCGCATGAATTTGGTGACTGAGTATATATATGACAGTGAAGCAATAAAATATCTTCAGCTTTTTGTCGGAGCCATTGATACATACAGAGAAGCAATAAGCAAGGGTTTAAATTGTAACATGTTCTGCAGAACCTTTGCAATGAGCGAAAAGCTGCGGTTTCGTCTATCCTTCTTTCTATTATAGACTGTTACGCACTTTTGAACATCACGTATTCGATGCACGCTTTTCGAATAACGAGTCGTTGTTGACCGGTTCCCATAGAGACAGTTTTATTATTTGTTCGAACCGCAGACGAGTCTAATCACTCGATCATTTCCGGAATTGCGGTGTATGACATATTGAACCTTGCTATCGGCCCGTTCATCTTTCTCTCTTTCGGCCGGCAACACGATTGCGTATACAATCGTCGCTGACATGTGCATGGAGAGCGAACCGCTCAATAGACGGCGCCTTGCACCGTCGCTCGCCTCGCTTAATGAAACGCAAGGAACGTTTCTCATCTTTGGCGCAGTCCCGTCTCCCATTACCATGGGAGATATCTCACTCGGCACACAGGCCGGCCGGCACAGCTGTCGCTCATATTTGCGAGACAAGCTCGATCACCCACCGCGGTGGCTCGGGTCAAGAAAGCGGCGCCCCGTCACAAATGGCCAAGGGCGGACAGATTTCATTATTAAAAGGGCGCAGGGGAGGGCCTATCGACCCGGCTGCGGTACCGCACGCCGAGGAGGCACTCGACGCTAATAGGATTCATCGAAAAGGTATCTGCGCTGTCAGTCACCCGTCGGCGGTTACCTCGTCCCACGCACCGCACCCTTCGTGGAAACAATTAGCGCGAGGCCGAACTGGGCGCAGCAGTTGGTCATAATTCGACCGCAGGGGCCAGCGTCGCCGGGTGGCAACGGGAGGATGCCCGGAACGACAGCTTCATTACGGCTACGCCGGCGGCCGGACGGCACGCACGACTCTGATGAAGTGCGGGCCCCTTGTCTCCGCCGATTGAGCCGTCACCTGGCCACTGGGTCAGCGCGGCGGCGCTCCCCAAATTAGCTGGCTGCGTCCCCGCTCAAAGCGGCGGGCAATTGCCGGAATGGCCTCCTTCGCCCAACGGGGGAGGAAACGGGCTCATTAGGGCGACCCCCCAGAGCGGGCGGAGCCTCCTGAAAGGTGGGCGGAGCCTCAGTCGGAAAGGTCCAATGGGAGGAGCGCGCGGCAGCCCGCGCACGCGTGGCGCGGCTCCCGGCATCGCGCGCGGCGGAGTCCCGCGTTTCCAGTCGAAGCACCGGTGGAGTCGCGCGGCCAGACATGACGGGTCTGCAGCCGGCCAAGAAGCTGACGCCGTTCTCGGTGGAGGCCCTGCTGGCCGACGTGGTGACTAGCGGGCCCAGGGACGTGCAGGAGGCTCAAGTGACCAGCTCGTCGAGCAACGTGGAGCCGGACTTGTGCCTGCCGCCCGAGCAAGCGCTCCACTGGGGAGCCGCCTGGTTCACGCGATCCTCCCCCGCGCCCGGTCATCTCGGTGAGTGTGCGCGAATTTGCGAGGGTTCACCGACGGAGGCTGCGTAGTCGCGGCTAGTCTGATCGCCGGTGACCCCGCAGCCTCCATGGTGACTGGGCTGCGCGTTTTTATCAATGCGGCCGTTGTAGCCCGACCACATGCTCGATGGTGGCAGCTGCATCATCGACTGCCTTGTAGCCTACAGGTGGGAATGTTCGATGTGTAGTCTATCAGTGACATTCATCCAAGACTCCGGCACTGTAATACAGGATACCTCGATACGGCAACGCCTCAATCTGCAGCTTTTCGTGGCAGCATTTCGATTGTCGAGATGGCACCATCACGTATAGTTGTCACGAAGTTACTAAGCGGTTGTTAGATCACGAAGCCAAATCGTTATAGCTGTCGTTGTGGTTCGGACAGGCTTGTGGAGTGACGACACGTGTCCCTTGCAGAGACACCCGGAGGGCCCTGCAAGCTGCCGGCGCCGGTCAAGTGCCAGCTGCGCAAGCACAAGTCCAACCGCAAGCCGCGCACGCCGTTCACGACTCAGCAGCTGCTCTCGCTGGAGCGCAAGTTCCGCGCCAAGCAGTACCTGTCCATCGCCGAGCGGGCAGAGTTCTCCTCGTCGCTGAGCCTGACGGAGACGCAGGTCAAGATTTGGTTCCAGAACCGGCGTGCCAAGGAGAAGCGGCTCAAGGAGGCCGAGATCGAGCGGCTTCGCATGGCCGCGCGGCCCCCCGTGCTGCCCTTCTTCGGACCGTTCGGCGCGCTGTGCTCGGCACCCGGCGCTGCGCTCCACGCGCCAGTGTTCGCGCCAGCCATGTTCGCGCCACCGCCCCCTGCCGAGCGACAGCCGCCGCCGTAGCCACCAGCGGAAGAAGACTGCCACCTGTAAATTGTAAATATCTGTACATAGCCCGGACCAGAGCGCCCATTAAATTATTTTCCTAAGAGCCTCCTGCTCCTCGTGTACTATAGTGCAGCCCCCTGAGCACTGCACTCGACCCACAGCTAACAGCCCTCGGGTGACCTATGGATTGAAACTGCAGCGCTACTGAGACGAAACACGAAATACACACACACAAGCGCCCGCTAACCTTGTTAGCCAGCACTTCTGTGTGTCTCTTCTATTCCTCTCGGTCACGCTGCACGTTAAACACGTGTGCACACCCAACTCGCTCGAGTCAAAGTGCTGATCACAACAGCTCAGTGGTTAGAAGTGTGGCAGCTTGGGCTAGTTGGTGTGGCATGACGATAGTTATAGCGCGAGAACAGAACGTCTTTCGTGTCCTTCTTGTCTCTGTGTCGTCGTTTTGTTCTCGCGCTATAACTATCGTCAAGCTCAGTAGTGTTCTACTTCGAAGAGAAACTTTTTACGCATATGTTCACATGTCGTTGCATGTGCAGTAATGGGAACGGCTGCCACCGGGGCTTTTTCGTGCACACGGTTTCGTTTACGACTATATACATTTATGCTGCCAGTAATCGCGAGGGACAGGTGTGGGACCGTTTTGCTTATGCTCCGTGTCGTACCCTGTCTCGCGAGGGTGACAGGCCCCGTAGTTTTTCGCCGGCCTATGCGCTCGAGTGCTACACGGCCAGACCGAGCCAGGAAGCCGATACCGAATACACGCGACATGTGTTACTCCACTCATCGTGAATACAACAGTGCAATCGTTCGTTATACCTGTGTACCTTTGTCGCGCAAGGGCGGGCCGTCAGTTGCGAATGTCGCTCAGTGATTGACATGCTTGAAAAACGAGCTCCTACTTATACTATTTTGCGTCTAAAAAGAAAAAAAAAAGTTTAGCTTAAATGTAACGTCTCTTACTTTCGCTGTGATTTGCAGACACCACGCGTTTGAGTGCCATTTTGTTAGGGCAGATTAGATGAGACCGTTCATTCATTATCGAATGTTCGTGAGAAATCCGAAGGTGGTTATCCAACTGAGATCTCTCATACTCACTTCGCATGCTTTTTCGAACTCTCACGCACGTTAACTTTGAACTATAATCACGTGCAGCTGGTTGGCACGTTTCAGCTTCTCTTGTTAACCATCTGTATACAGAATGCTTGGGTGGTCATTGAGTGCTTACGGGCTCATGATGATGATAGTGTTCGATCTATACACGACACACGGCAAAGCTCGACCATAACAGCTCTGCCGTATAGAAAGGACCATTGCGTAATACATTGCGAAAAACCAATCACAGTGACTCTTTGGCGTTTTATACAGATGTGAAATACGTATACCTTGGTGAAGAAACAGCTTGAAATTTAACACAAAGCCTTGTACATCAGATAATTATTCTGCAGCCTGCCTCGAGCTTTACATGTATCAGCATCGCTATCGCTATGAGTGACTTGCTTATCTCTTTCGACGCTCTTCTTCGTGTTGGACGAAGTTCGCTGTGCCATTGTTCATGAATAAATCGGGCTCTTTAAAATTATTTCTTTATGGATGAGAAGGCGTCATAATTGAGGAAGGAAGAAACAAGGGGAAATACGGGGAGGTTAGGCGTAGATCTATAGGACCAGCTGCCTACCCTGTGCTAGGTAATGGGGATGAAATATAATAGAAGAGAGACGGTTACGAAAAGAGAAAGAGTGGGAAGAGCAAGAAGCTATACTATACTTGTTTAGTGCGAGCGGCAAAAATGCACCCGAATCGCTCCTCAAGTAAGCGTCTGTCATGCGTTTTTCTACTTAGTAGTTTTGACTCGAAATGATCGACGTTACTGGAGATAAGATAGAGTTTAACGTTAGTTATATCCTGACAGTATCAGTGAAAACGTATTATATGTTTTGCTGCTTCAAGCTAAAAAGCCAGTCAAGAAGGCTTAATGAAAGTCAATATTTGCTCTTTTAGTCTGATTGCACTGAGGAAAGTTGTTTTTTTTTTAAATCTTATGAACCAATAATATATTGGCTCTCTTTCCCTAAAAAATATTCACTTACAACATGCATGGTTTTCTTCCACTGCATAAAACCTGGTGCATAAGAATCGGGAGCCGCACCGCGGGTCATTGTCGCATGCATGTTTATTGAAAATGAGGCTGCAACATTAAGCGCGTGATATGCAGCACTCAATGGAGCGGAACATCCAGCTACATCACGTGTTCATCCGTGATTGACGAGAGGCTTATTTCGTTTATTGCTTGAACATTAAAGTTTGTTTTCACTTAAGAATGTTCCTCAGGTAAATCAGTGCGCAATCGAAAACTGCATACGTCAATGCATTCGTTATTTTTTTTTTAAGCCATTGCGTGCAGTTGTTGGACTTGATCGCGTTCATTCAAATAATAAACATACTTTGGAGTTGGTTCGTTCTAACGAACAAGTTTTGCAACAGGACTGGGGAATTCACAAAATGGAATATTGAAGCGTATGTGGGTGTGCACGTCTTCGCAGAGCTTCCTATAATCTTGTTGTCCAATCGCCGAAAACGGCCGCTTCACCTCAGTGGTGGTAGCAAGTGTTGCTCATTGTTGAAACGCCGTGTAACAGGTTTAGTTCATGGGGTAATGAGGCCGAAAAAAGTGTCAAGCGCGAGTTCAAGTTGTGACGTCTTCAACATGCATCCGTGTACCGCATAACTTGCGTCACGAGATGAGCTATATATAGACAAATGTACTTGAGGAGTCAATCTGATGACGTATACGAAATAGAATACCACGTACTGAACAGATTGTAATTTATGAATGCTTCCATTAATTGTGAATTCAAGAGGAAGGCAAGCAACGCGTCTTTCTTTAGCATCATTTTTTGTAAGTGGAAATAACGTTTAGATATCGTTGAGTTTTCTTTTTTTTTCGCATAGGATGCGATAAGTTTGTACCAACATTCAATAGGTCATCTCTGCTTGAATTGATTCACTTCTACTTTGTTAAGTGTAGTTCAATACAGACAGGTATCGTACATCCATATACTTTCGTTGAATCAATATAGTAACGAGTTTACATACCATGAAAATATGCGGCTGTGCTGCATTCACCAATATAATTTTGTATCAGTATATTGTGATTGGTTTGATTTTAGGGTTTAACGTCCCAAAACCACCATGATTATGAGAGACGCCGTAGTGGAGGGCTCCGGAAATTTCAATCACCTGGGGCTCTTTAAGGTGCACCCAAATTTGAGCACACCGCGGGCCTACAACGTTACCGCCTCCGTTGGAAATGCAGCCGCCGCAGCCGGGATTCGATCCCGCGACCTGCGGGTCAGCAGCCTAGTACCTTAGCCACTAGACCACATTGGTGGGGCTATCAGTATATTGTGTGCGATATGGTTATGATACACATTTTCGCGACCTTTTCATTAAACTTTAAAATTTCCACCCATATAACATGCGTGATGAAAATCTCCTTCAGGCCACCAAGTAAAATTTAAAATCTGCAGGTAGTTCAGCTACTTAGTCCATAGAGACACCGAACTCACAAAGTGTCTGTAAGTGCATGCTCGTTGTTATAGAGACAAACCACCACCAATCTGAAATTGTCATACGGAAATCTGCTGCCACGGTTCTCGTGAAAAGCTCTGGCGCTATATATTACTATAAGGATTTCGAGAGTATAGTGTACTAGCGCAGGGATCAAACTTACTTGTAAATAGCCCAACACCTCTTGACATGCTTAGATTCGCTGTTGGATTAAATGTGTTTTTAAGAACAACCAAATAGTGTGAGGGATTTTTGTAGATATGAGGTATAACTTGTCGCGCGCATAAAAAATCGCACAAATGTGTTTCTTACAGAAAATTATAACATTAAAATCCCTTTATAAATATACGCAACGCCTTTCCTTTTTAACGCCCTGGAATGAAGAGTAACTTTTACGACGAGAACAGTATATAAATATTGCAGTGAATATGGCCTCGATGAGTGAGGATCTTGCATTAATTTTTGCTGGATCCATCTTTTAAAGAAATATAAAGTGCCATGGGTTCCTTTCGCGGCGGAGTACACCAACTGTAATCGCAGCAGAAACCTCCTGTATACTATAGCAACGAGTAAACTAGTATATATATAGAAGGGCAGCGACAAGGCTGTAGCCTCGAGATTAGCATCGAGTGAGTAAGGTTAGCTATATACGTATACGGCCGGTACTGCTAACTTAAGCACATAAACGAAATGCCTTGTATACGTTGAATGCATATACGTATATACACCGATACCCGGGAAAATAAGGACCAACTTAAATACCACGTATACACACATCCCAGTGCTTCTTTTCCACACGTGCGGATATACAATGTATTACGGTTCAGAGCACCGCATGATGACTTTTTTTTTTTTACGTTTCGGACAGAATAAGCGGGACTCCTTTATTTTGACGTCTTTCTTCTCCAACACGCTCGCCTTGAACAGAGTTTTTTGGCGAGACGCGCGGTGTGGGGAAATGGGAAGCTTATCAACTGTGTTTCCGGAACGCTTGCTTAATAGCCGGCCGGGGCGATATATCTTCCCTGAATTGAGCCAAACTGGCTCGCCGAGAGAGCCGTTAGTGGGCCCATCGATTATTTTGTTGACTGCATCGGGGCAGATGGAAATGAACCGTGAAGTCATGGCGTGCACGAGGGGGCGGGCGGTGCGAAAAGCGGCGCTTCTTGAAATCCGGCCTCGACTGCAGCCGCGCGCGCTTCGAGTGAAAGGATAGATAAGTAAATTATTTAGAAAAAAGCGGGAAAAGAGGTGGAACCCGTAATTGAAAGCAAACGCAGTCGGTTAGTGAATTGTCGGGAGAGCTTTTGATTGGCTCGTTCGCTGCGTCTATGCCGCGGATTCTGCTTGCAGTTTCCGACACTTTGTTTTGCCATTCATTTGATCTACCTCGGGTTTCCAGGTTGTGATTAATAATGTTGACACGTTAGAAGACTTTATTGACAGACAGCATCTC